AAACTGTTGCCTTGCAAAAATGCCAGATGCCTTAAAGGACAGCAAGCTATCTTGACACTGCTTGCAAATGGAAGACTCATGCCTGTTGAAGCTGCAAAGGCAGCTTAGTGTGAGCTGTCCAAGCAACACATGGCTCTTTTCCCATTAGCAACAAGGAAAAGAAAGACCAGAATGATGTCTGATTAGAAGTAATGCACAAAGAGCCACAGTCTAGCTCCCAAACATCTGAGATAATGTTTAAGCAACCACTTAGTATCTTAATGTTAATGACTGAAGACTGTGGACGTAAGTGCTGCTGCTGCCTCCTCCTCATGGACAGATCACCACCACTCAGGTTGGCTGTTAACAGCTGTAGTGGTACATAAAAGAATGAGGTTGGTAATTCAGGTTCTAGTATTTGTGTATTTACTCTTTTATTAAAAATACTGAGAAGCGGAAACTGTATTCTTATTTCACCAAAAGCTCTCAAAGGTGCTAAACAACTAGTGTACTTACTTCATTTTCCTGAGTTCTACTGCTATGCCTTGAATCCTAAATGGTTAAAGAGTTTCCTAAGTCTTTAATAAGTGGATCATGTTAACAGCCCCATAATTAAATATATGTTTTTTGTTTCCTGGGCAACTTTCCAACTACATGTGCTGTGATCAAGGTCTTAAGATACATTTACGCATTACACCCTTTAAAGAACAAGAAGGGAATCCATGCACTTGTACTTTGAACAGTATTTAACAGCTCAAATGTTAATGTGTCTTACGAGGTGTCAAACTAAGGAAGACTAGGACACTTCTCTCCCCTGCTGGAGTCCCAGTGAGGTATGACAGATTACTAACACTGCAAGCATCCACCAGTGAAATCAGACATTACTAACTTCAGGCTGCATTGTGCTGCTGTAGTCCCCAGTCCACTCTGAGCCAGAAAAAAAGGTCTCAGCTGGGACATTGAAGAGATGTGGCATTCTCAAATGTAAGGACAAACAGCTCAGGAAATCCAGTTTTGTTTTATTGTGTGTAAAATCAAGTGAAATAGCAGTACAAATAGCAGTGTATCTTTATAGTAAAAAAAGAAAAAAAAATAACTTCCAACTTGAAAGCCTTAAAATTTACCATTGAATTCTTAACTTACAAAATTCAAAAGCAGTATTGGAGTTATTCCAGAGATATAAAAATGGTAAATAGGCATCTGCTGGTGTGTACAGAATAGTCTGAGATGCATTAATCACAACATATGCATGTGGCACAGCAGTAATAAGTTAGTCTGCCACCTCATGTTCTATTTACAACAGCTTACCTGAAGACTGCTTAAGAAAAGTATAGGTATGTATAAATCAACTGAAGGGGATTAAGAACTCCAGTTTTTTGATAACTGTAAACCTAGCTGGTTAACAAACCACCAGGATGCTAGAAAATTATCTCAGTGTTGCAGCAAGAGCCTTAAATCCTGTGGCATGTTGATTTAAACTGAGTATCTTACCAGAAGCTTAAATTTGGTCAGGAGGCACTTTTGCATGTTATTGGTATATTAATCTCTTCCATTCAATAAATCAGTGATTTAAGAAAAATCTTCTAGAAGACAGACCAAAATCCACCCCTCCCATTTCAAGTCCGATAAAAGCGGAATGAAGAACTGAGGACTCTCAACACAACAAGCAGCTCTTTCTCTAAGTTCAGCAACGGTTTCTTCTTTCCTGCTCCATATTCCTTTCATTTAAACTTGATTCATTTCATGTTACAAATTACTTGGGAACAAGGAGAATTAAGTTTTTATGCTGACAGTGAAGTTAAACTGTAGTGTCTATGAACTTGTAGTGTCCTTCACAGGCATTAATCTAACATTCCTGTGTAACTTAGCTGTTTCTTATCTGAAGAGGCTGCTTTGTGCAGGGAATCTACAGTAAACTATAATGCCCCAAACCCTTTGGCATGCTTTGCCTAGCTAGCACACGGAGTGGGATTAGTACAGTGCTCCTCCCCACAGCAGTGAGCAACTCTTAATTCTGGCATTTTAGTTTGATAGCGCAGAGGGGACAGGACAGCTCACTTCCAAAAGCTTAAGCATAGCAAACCCTCTTCTGTAGCAGAAGCCACATTTCTTCTTAAAATAGGAACCTTTTGTGCTACAAAAGAATCCTTTTGGAGTTAAGGCTTTTCCAGTTGCTTCCTTAGATAAATATGGTTTGTCCCTGTCCTCCTGAAAGCCACAACTACAGTAAAGTCTTAACCATGTACCTGCAGGGAAGACTTTTAGAGAAGCACTCTGCTGAGGGGACCAGAATTCTACTACTGCCAGTTACATCAGAAGAAGGAAAACTAAAAATAATAATCATGTTTACCACAGTTGGGAACATCCTCCCCTTCCAGCCAACCCGTTCCAGCTTAGGATTTGCTTCCTTGCTTGACCATCAGTCTATATATCTCCCTCCCCAACCCTTCCCCAACTCAGTGACTGATTAGGACATTAAGGATTGTTGCACAGCCTTCTGCAGAGATTGCCTGGTCACCAGCAGCCGTACTACTTCTTCATTCCTTTTCGTCAGCCTCTTCCTTGCTTGGTCATGGGTCACCATTGTCATATCCCAGCCATTCACCTGGGAAAAACATCTAAAATGAGGCAGGTGTGTGGACTCACAGGTGTCCTATAACTGTTCAGTAGAACTATGTAGTAGAGATACTTGTGCCATTCATCACCTTATTTATAAGCCCCACAAATTGTCCTGGAAAGTACCCAGAAGACAGCATTTCCCCCAGCAGACACTTTCCTGCAGCACACACCTAATGCTGTGTTAGTACTTGTCTCATAATGGTGTTTACCTGCATGATCTTATCTCCAATCTGGAGTCCTGCAACTTCTGCTGGGCCTCCTTCTGTTACCCTTGTTACATAGATACCCTAGGAAAAAAAAATAATGAAATGTTCACTTACTAAGTAAGGGCTATTAAATACTTAAGAGCTATCCAAAACCTGGAGAGGGGCTTTGGACAAGGGCCTGTAGGGACAGGACAAGGGGGAACGGCTTTAACCTGCCAGAGGGGAGACTGAGATGAGCTCTTAGGCAGAAGCTCTTCCCTGTGAGGGTGCTGAGGCGCTGGCACAGGGTGCCCAGAGAAGCTGTGGCTGCCCCATCCCTGGCAGTGTTCAAGGCCAGGTTGGACAGGGCTTGGAGCAAGCTGCTCTAGTGGAAGGTGTCCCTGCCTATGGCAGGGGTTGGAACTGGATGGGCTTTAAGGTCCCTTCCAACCCAAACCAGTCTGGGATTCTACGATTCTACAAAAACACTTTGTTTTATATTACAGGCTCTAGTTAAAAGCAGGTTTGTTCAATGCTGGATAACAGAAGAGGTGGAGAGCTAACAAACCAAATCTAGTCTGCAAATGATAACATAGCAACAGAGTAACTTTTAATAGCCAGCTATGTGAGAGGGCAGAATACAGACACCAGTTGAATTAGCTGGCTGAGTTGGACATACTCAGCCTTTTGCAGAGATAGTGGCTATGTAAAACGAAATGCATCTGACCTTGTCAGTCTTGTCTTCAGAGAAAGGATTCTGAGTAGGATCCTGATCAATGCCACCTCCAATGCTGAACCCCAAAATCAAATTGTCACCTTGACGAAGCTTATGTATTTCAATTCTTTGCTGTAAAGAGAAAAACAGCTGAATGTTGCGATGAAGAAATCTTGCTGACAGCAGTTGGCTACCAGCTGTTCTCAGCCCTGCCACAGAACAGCAGGACAGGAAACCACTTGCAAACTCAGCCCAGTGGTGCTCCTGCCACCATACAGCCAAGCTCCTTAACTACTCCGAGCTCTAGATACAAGGGAAAACACTAGAAACAGAGTAGGTCTCTTGAACCATGAGTCATGCCTTGCCAACCCGCAGTCACTCACAGCAAGACTCATCTTGCTCTTTGCCCACGTCCCCACGTTCCTGCCCTATCAGTGAAACAACAACCTATTATTAGGATGGTTCTTTTTCAAGATAACTTATCGACACACTTGTAACCCAGAGACACGTGTTCCTTGCTGTGTCTGGTGTTTGCAGGCATCTGACAAACTTCACGCATGATCCAAGTACCACACAAGCAGGTATCCCTGCCCGCTGCAGGAGGTGGCCCAGGTGACCTTCAGAGGTCCCTTCCTCCCCAAACCACCCTGGGATTGTTCTCAAGCAGCTCTGTCAGGCACCGAGCTCCCCAGGGTGCTGCGCTCAGGCCCTCCGCCACTCCGGGGCGGTCTCCCCGCCCTCAGCCCAGCGGGGAGCGGTGCCGCTCACACAGATGCGGAGCCCCTTAATTAGCGCTCCACTTCTGACCCCGCCAAGACAAAGCGGGTGCTTATACCGCCGCTGCCGGGCAACGGTCCTCCGCACCCCGGGGAACGCGCCTCCGGCTACTTCCTCCCCCTTCCGCCAAGCACCCCCGGGACAAGCGGCGGCTGCAGCCCATCCCCGCAGGCCGGCGGGGCTCCTTCCCGGTTCCCTACGCAAGAGCGGAGGGGCCTGCGTGTGGCTCGAGTGCCCGGGCCGCTGCAACTCGTGGCGTGACGACCCCTCTATAGGCACTATCAGCCTCCACGGCAGGGAACGCAACCATGACCGGCAGCGCTGCAGCCCGCGTCCTCCCCCACGCTGACAGCCGCACCAGCACCAGCACCACCGTCCCGTCCCAGCAGCCCCCAGCGCGGCGCCCCAGCCCCATCTCACCACCACGGCGGTGACCGGCTGTCCCGGCACGTACGACATGACACACCCCAACCCCGCCGCCGCCGCCGCCCGAACAAAAGCGCCTCGCCCAGCCCCGTCCCCCGCCGCCGTCAGCCAATCGGGTGCCGCCCCGCGCTCAGCGCATGCGGGGAAGTCGGAAGTGAGGCTGCTTTCCCGCCGTCCCCTGCGCCCAAGATGCCTGACAGGAGCTTCCGGCTGGGTGGTGTGAGGCTCCGGTGTGGCGGTGGGTTGGGCCCGGTGCGGGGAGGAGGGCGCGGCGGCGGGAGGCGGCCTCGGTCCCCGCGGTGACGGGCGGTGTGCGGTGTTCTTCCGCAGGGTACGAGGCGTGACGGCAGGGCCCGGCCGAGGGTCCCGCGGAGTATTGCGCCGCCGTGGATGAGAGGTACTGGCTGGGGGGAGGCGGGCGGGCCCCGGTGCAGGGGGCCGGGGAGAGGTCTTCCGCGGCGGCGGCGGCTGTTGGGCCTGCAGCGCACTGTGGAGCCGAGCGGGTTCAGCGGGGCGGTGCACAGGCAGGGCTGCCCCCGCCCGGCCCGTACAGCGCGTGTCTCCTTCCCCCCAGCTCCGCTGGGCGAGAGGAGCTCCGGGAGCCATGGCCGCGGTGGTGGCCAAGCGCGAGGGGCCGCAGTTCATCAGTGAGGCGGCGGTGCGGGGGAACGCCGCCATCCTGGACTATTGCAGGACGTCTGTCTCGGCACTGTCGGGCGCCACGGCGGGGATCCTCGGCCTGACCGGCCTTCACGGCTTCATCTTCTACTTCCTGGCTTCCGTCCTCCTCTCCGTGCTCTTGGTGTTAAAAGCCGGACGGAGATGGAACAAGTACTTTAAATCCCGAAGGCCACTTTTCACGGGGGGGCTTATAGGAGGGCTCTTCACATACGTCTTGTTCTGGACTTTCCTGTACGGCATGGTTCATGTCTACTAAACAGACCAGGAGCCACGTTAGTTGCAGTGGTTTTTACTTGAGCAGGAGGACTGTTGCCAGAACTCACCTACACAACTAGGCCAGCTTACCTTTGAAACTGTTGTCCATTGCTTGCATTGTTAATACTGTCAGTAAATTATGTCCAAGTACAAATGAAGCGGTAGCACTGTTCTAATTAAACTGAATGTGAACCACTACTTGGATGCCTCCCATGAATGTTTGTTTGGTGGTTCTGTCCCTAATTGCAGGCACAGTCCTGGGTTTTGGTTAATGTAGTTCTCTGGTTTGGGTAAGGCACACCAGTAACACTCCCCTCTAGATTTGCTGCCTGCCTCTACACATAAAAAAAAGCCACATGTAATAGCACTTTTAAAAGTAATCCACCGACAGATATTGCACAGTAACTTGTAATTAAGTGTATGTAAAAGTTTGGTCCAGGAGTGTATTTGAGCTGCCAGTGTTAATGTTATCTTCCACAATTGTTACATGTACAAACTGTTAATAAATGACACTGGTTTCGATGCTCTTCACTGCACACAAAAGTCACTAAATAACACTCTCATGAGCCTTTGCTCCTTTTTATTGCTGTTGTATTCAGTGAAACAACCAAGTAAGTGCAGCATCTTGCTACCTGCCGCCTCAGTCCTTACTGAACACATGCTGGCATTGAGCTGTGCTTTGTTCTGGTGCCTTACATCTAGCAGAAACAGAAAGGAAAAGCATGTGACTGACTACACAGGTAATACCTTTACTGTAGACCTTCTTGTGCAAACTTAATGTTTAATTGCCTTGGTTACACAAGTATGTATCACAAAGAGAAGGTGGTGTGTCCCACCTACAAACCACACTGTACAGAAGAGTCTTGCAGAGCATTGCCCAAAGTGGTACATTTTACTGCTGTGCATTAAATACGGGAGGGGGGTGGGGGGGTGGGGCAGGGAATCAAAGAAACAAACTCCTGAGAAGGAATCTGGTTATGTTTTATTAATAGCAGTGATTGTGGGAATTGTTTTAAAAAAATGGTAGAAAGAAAGGAAATATTCTAGGGAATATATGGGGGGGGCTGAAGACTTAAATTCAGGAAACAGCTTTGGTCACCTAATGAGGATGTTTTGTCCCATTGGAACATTGGTGTTGGTAGAGCACAGTCAGCTTTACATGCTTTGATGAGCTACTCAGTCTCCCTGCTTTCCTCTCATTATCAATCACTGCCTGCTGTTACCCGCTCTGTGCTCTAAATGCCAGCTCTCAGGTGACAGTGGTGGCAGCTGGGACCCTGCCATGGCTGAACCCACCCTCCTGCTGTTCCTGAGCCCAGCACAGCTCCTTGCTGCAGCTGTTGGAAGGCTTTTCCTGGTGAAGCACCATTTCTAGCCCTAATGGTTACACACACCCTGCAATAAAGGTGATTGCCCTGCCATGGCCCTTGTAGAAAAACGTGCTCTTGGGCTCCAAGCACTGCTGGAATTCTGCGTTTCGCTGCACTTCCGACAGGATGAGTCCTACAGCTTCACATCTTCTCCTATGTAACACAAGTGGGAGTTGGGAGGCAGGGGATGGGTTGTATCTCAGCTTCAGCCCTCTGAGAGCCAGTGGTGTTTCACATTCCAGCACATGGAAGCAAAGCACAGCCTTGGGATAACAGTGACTGTTGTAGGTACAGATATATCTACCAGTAGATACAAAAACGTTCACTTGGTGCCTTCTTTTTACTTTTATAAAATCCTTTTATAAATCCATAGAAACGGCGCACTCATGCAAGCTCAGGATACCAGAGAACATCTCAGGGAAAGAAAGGCAGTCTTTAGAGGACTTTTTTTCCTCTGGGAATCCCAGTAATAAGACAGACCTGATGTGGGGCATCTCCACCTCCCAGTGCTGGTGTGATTCAACACCTGTAGGGTTTTCCTGGCACACGAGCCCAGCCAGCAGACCCATCGCTGTGTCTAGAGCCCACCGACCTGGTCAGGGCTCTGATTCCCATTCAGCGTAGGACTAGATAAGGATTTCCTGGAAGTGGACCTGAGGAAACAAGCAAAGGAGACAGCCAAGGCAAGCAGGCTGGTTTTGTTCAGGAAGCAACATGGGTAAGAGGTTCCCAGCCGGGCCTGTTATACCTCACCACACAGGCCATCATCTGCCATACACTTAATGCCCCTTTCTTTGGTTTCATGAGGGTTTAGAGCTCTTGGAGCTGCTCCAATTCCATCCTTGGTCATTGGAGACAGTGCAAGGCCATTAAGTCCAACCATGACACAGCAGCTGCCTTTGCTCCCCAACTAATGACAGCAGTGAATTACAGAGGGAGGGAGTCACTTGTCTAAAGTCATTTAGAGGAATATAATTTCCTGCAATTAGCCTGTGTTTGCCATCAATGTTTACTGTGTTCCAGTTATCTCCTATTTCTGGTAGTCATAACAATAAAGCCATTACATTTATACACAAAGCCAAGCCCACTTACTTTACTTCCTCGTACTTTTTGCCTCGATAGAAGTTACTCTTTTTAATCAGATACAGCAGCACCAGGTCACAAAAGAAAGCTCCCTGCAGAGAGAAAGAATTTGTGGTTTCTCCTTAGAGTGGAAGAGGAAATGTTCCGCTCTAATGAGCATTAAGGCATAACTGATAGGAGCTTTATTTTCCTTCATAGGCTGTGCAATCCTCAGGGTATTTAGACCACACAGTACATTAACAGATGCTGTTAAGACAGGACACAGACACACACCTGGCTGAGCAGTCAGAGCAGCAAAAACTACCAGAGAAGATCTAAAGCAACTGTCCTATTTTATCCTCCTAACAGTTAAATGAGAGATCTGGGTCCCAGTATGTTACTTTTAAGGAAATACGTTCACTTACCGCTCCCATGAGAGCAAGCCCCGAACCAATATTGATAATAGTGGGAATGATGTTAAATTTGCCTGCCTAAAAGAGAAAAGGTCATGAAACAGTCACTGAAAGAACAACCCAAGAGACAAACTGAAGGGGGTGGTGTTACACAGGGGAAGCTACCGGTGCCCGTGGGTGTTTTGTTAGCAATAAGCACGCACAACCCCAGATCTGCAGTGAACAATCTTGGACACTAAAGCTCTGTGTGTGTCTCAGATCCAGCTGCCCATGGCTGCATTTCTGAGCTTGCCTCATCCATGGATTAAGCTGCTTTTTCCTGCAGTACATTCACGTGGGGAGCAAGTCTCTGGGGCACATTTTCTTCTGTGGGACTTTACTGAGCGTGAATTTAGGCAGAATTGGTGCGGACTCATCCACCTTCTCCTTTCTTATGCAGGGTTAGCTCCACATAGATACATGGCAAGAGCCCTTTCCTATGACAAGCCAGAAGCCGTTCTCATCCCAGAGCTGCCTTCCCACTGAGAGATGTCCCTCACCCTTTTTCTTGCCAGGCTCTGAAATACTCCAGCCTGGGACCTCACCTTGCCATTCACCATCACATCAAAGCGGATTCCATATGCTTTAATGAGCGTCCGGTAGTCTACTCCTTCAGCATCCCGGTAATATTTGGCAAACCTGGAATACAACAATGCTGAGTTTAACTCCATCATCTGTCCCACACATACACACAAAACCCCACCATCTGAATTCACCTCTCTCTTCAAACAGCTCTATTCCCCTATCAAAAACAGTTTAGTTTGCCATGAGCCTAACTCCCTCCCTCACCTCCTCTGCAAAGCAGTGTGCCTGGCACAGGCTGGTCCTGCCTCACTGCCAGCCTCCCAACACCCGCACCTCAAACCAGCTCAGGCCAGCTGTGGTCCTGCGTCGTATCCTCCTCTACTCACCTGAAGTTATACCCAGAAGAGATGGGCTTTTCTGCAAACTTGTTATCCAGACGGCTAAAAGAATAGTGAGGATTACATTCAGAAGGGGCTTTATCAAGATCACAGTTCCATTCAATCTGAATTCCTATCACACCACCCTTAACAAAAGAGAGAGACAGTGTGAGTTTAAGTTTAGTTCAATTAAGGTGTCTTTAAATTTGTCAGCTCCTTGGGCAAGATTTCCCCTGGGACAAGAACCATTGCACTTCTGGTCATGGACATGCGTACACACACATCTGGATGGGCTGAGTTCATGCTTATGATATTACTCACACTACTGCATGCATAACCTTAGTGCTGCAATCCTGGGAAGAGGTTTCTCCTCCCAGGACACTGATTTCACTAATTCACAAGTGCAGCAGCCAGCACAAAGCCTGCACTCTTCCCACCCTCTGCTTCCCAGGATGCCTCAGACTGGCTACATCTTTCCCCCTGTTCTTCTCACATCAGGTTGCAGCCTGTTTGGTGCTGCAGCCCTGCCACTCCATGCAGAAACATGTCCCTTTCCCTCAGGGGAAGCTTCCCGGAGTGTTCTCTGAGCAGAGGAGCCCCACTGGCCTTCCAGAGTTCTGGGTTTAAACTGATGGTGTAGTAGTGTTAAAATTGATAGAGCAGTGGTTTGGGCAGCCCCAACTAACAAATAACTGACCTTACCACCTCCTCTGCCTACCCACATCACCCTGGCTCCCATTCCCTGGGGACAGGATAAATGGGAACAGCTTGGCTTTAAGCATCCACTGCACCTTGTACAGGAGGCAGTTTCCTGGGCAGTCAGCAGTGACTCTCCTCACGCAGAGAGCAGTACAGCCAGCCAGGAAGACACATGAGCCAAGGGGCAATCCTACCTCTGAGGCCACTTCCTGGAAGTCACTCCCAGCCCACTGAACGATGTTCCCCAGGAGGAAGATGGGGCAGTAAGGATGCTCCGTGCTGTACCGGCAGCTCTTCAGGTAGGACTCATTGTTGGTTGCCAACACATTCATCCTGCATGTAGGGAAGAGGGAAATCCACCTTGTCTCCCTCTTTGCTTGCCTGCACATCCTACACCACCACAGCTGCAGAGATCAGAGACTTCTCCAGCAGCCTCATACACAGCAGAAATGGCACCTTGTCACCAGCCTAGTCACCCCTCGACCCTCTCCACTGCTACCCCAGGAAAGCAGTCTGCCCACAGAAATGACCTCCAGGCCAGACAGGGACTAGTCCAGCTGAGTGTGGGCTCAAGAAAGGACTCCCATGGCGCAGGCTGCCCGAGTGCTCTAGGGCACTTGGTTTTCTCAAATGAAGATGCCAGAAATGTCTAGCTGAGCCTGGGAGAACAGCAGGAACACTCCTTTCTACACTTCTTTATTCTGTTCATATTGTAGCAGCAAATGCAAACAAGTTTTTTTAAGTTTGCATTTTCACAACCTTGTCCAGGCATTTTCATTTTTGTGGAAAAGGAGGGGTATCTGGGAACAGAAGCAGCTCACGATCTTGGCTATGCCCTTGCTGGTGGACAGGTCCCCCTGCTTCAGGGGCTCTGGCACATCCTATGGTGTAGGATTCATCACAGACCTCATCTGGTGAGGGATGCATTATCCCAGTTGCAATCTGAGAAGCTCCAACCCCTCATCATCTCCTTGTTCCCAAACAGCCTGAAGCCAAAAGCCTTCTCCTGCACCTCAGAGGAGGGGATAAGTGCCTCCCTATCCCAGCCCTCAGGCAGCAGAGGACAATGGAGCAAACCAAGGTTATTCATTCAGTGATGGAGAGGACAGAGGGATCTCCAAGCACCTGCACTTACTTGGAAAACTTAAACTTGGGGAAGCGTATTGAGTTTTTGATGTAAACAGTGAAGTTTTCTGCACTGGCGAGAAGCGGTTTCCTGGAAGAGAAGGGGCTGTTATCCATCTGATGTTTGTACGCTGCCCACATCCTAAACTTCAACTGCAGTTTTAGCCACAGCCAGGTTTCACCCTGTGGCTCTAGGCCAACCACAGCACTGCCAGCAAGGAGTTGGTGAGGAGTGCGCAGGCTGAGGGGAATTCCTGGGAGTTGAAAACAGCTCTGGGACCACCAGTGAGCTCAACAGGGATGAGCAGGGGGCCAGTCCTGACAGGGGGCCATGCAGAGCTCGCTCCTGTACTGGAACAGCCAACATTCAAGCAAACATCCAAGCAGAGGGAACCCAGATATCACCCTACGTGACACACAAGCCAAGCAGCTCAAGCTTGGAAACAGCAGAGGATGGCCACATACTTGGGCTTGGATCTTTTCTCCACTGGGCACCAGGCCAATATCTCACAAGTTCCTCTGATGCTGTCCCTGTCTTTCAAACAACGGCCAGTCTTAACCCCTGCAGCACAGACAGAAAAGGTCACACAGAGCAGCCACCTCCTCCCCTTACCTACAGGGCACATGAAAACCAGATGTTTTTCACTGCCACTATGAGCCCTCCTCCCTGTTGTGAAAGGGGCTTTCAGCTGGAGCAACCACTCCCTTGTTGCTTCTCTGAGCAGCCTGGGGTGCTCTGGCCCAGCCATCACAAGCTGTGAGCAAGGCAGCAATCTTAGTAAAAGACAGCAAAGAAGAGAAAATCCTTGCTGCTGTCTGTAGTCAGAGATCTCTGGGGTTGTAACTGGGCTGATACCTCTGAAGGAACATGACTCTACCAGACAGTACAGGAGGGATCCTTCCCTTACCATTGCCAGCCACCACTGCCTCCCCTGCCATGCAGTCCCTGTCCTTGTAGCACAGGGCATCGGGAATTCTGTCACTCTGCAAGGAGGAAGGGAAGAAAAGTGAGACCTGTGCCAGAACATGATACTCAGATGGTTAACAAAGTGCTGCTGATGTGGGTGAATTCTCCATAGAGTGGTGAACATAAAAAACATGCAGCTGAAGCGGTAACCGTAAGTTGTGCAAACAGCTCAGCAGCATCACACTGCCGTCACACCGTGGTTCAGCTGTGACATCCTGTTTTCGGGCTCTGCTCACTGTGCAGAGTGACAGGCTGGGGAAAAACCAGGCAGGATGTCACAGTACTTCACCTCAAGAGATAACACCATCTTCTGATTTTAGCTTTGATTCTAGAGCCAAACCCTTCTCTTGGCTGCATGCTGGGTTAATGCAGTCACTGGAGGACAACTGTCTCCTGAACAGACCAACTGTGCTCAGCCTTGGCCACAGTAACATGTCTTGAGACATGCAAAATTAATCTCTGCTACAACATTCCCTGGATGGCCAGTGTCCTCCTCCCACAGCCCATTCTGAACCACATCTCACAGAGGACATTTCAGTATGATGCAGAAAGACCTCCTGCCTCTGGCCCATAAGGCACATTCTGGAAGGTACTGAGCAGTCTCCCATGTCCTGAAGATAACAAGAGCCTGAATGTTCAGCCCTTCCCAGAATGGAGCTCTTAGGAAGTCTCCTCTATCCATAACTACACAGAGTCACCTCAAAAGTTATTTTTCACATGGCCTTTTCTGGCCCTGAGCAGTCACTGCTCTGGTCTCACTTCTGGCTGGGCAGGTGTCCAACACCTTCACCTGAAGTCAGCATGGCTCTACATGATTAGTGGCTTTGGAAATTAAGAACCTCCCAGTTTTGCAGTAGCCAGGCCAACTTTCCCAACTGAGATGTTATACTACAGAGAAAAAAACATTGGCCTTCCATCCTTCCTGTGGTCATTGCTCCACGGGTGTTCTCTGCCAGTTCTTACCCCCAGTTTTGTAGGGGTCTGGGGGCCAAGGGGCTCAGTTCTCCCTACCTCAGGACACGTGGCTTGCCTCTGGTTTGGGGTCACAATCAGATTCGTCATGACAAAGAAGACATTTTCACCCTAAAATAAAGTAAGGCAGGAAGAGTTAGAAAACCTGTTTAACTCTTAAAGTACCTGTCATAAGGAGGATGCAGTTCTCTGCAGAACAGAAATACCTCCTTCACTCCTGATGCTTTTTAGGCTGAGATACAACAGTGCCTTTGGATATTTGTTTGGATGAGGTTGGTGTGTCTCTATGGCTCAAGGGGTTCTGCTTCGGAGACTGTGTTAATCTGGGGAGCAGGCCTGCTGAGCCTTGCCTTGTTGGCTCCTTGGTGAGAACTTGTCCTCCTTTTCCATAAGGACACAGTGCCTGACTGGGGATCAAAGGCTGCACTGCAGTGAGGAGCTGTGGTGTTTGCTCTCAGCCAAGGCCAGGCTGGCCTTTCCACCAACCACCATACTGGAAGACATCTTTCTACTGAAGGGCAGAGACAACAGTGATGGGGTGGTGCCAACCTGTGGAGGGATGACATAGTCTGCCACATCCCACAGCCTCTCCCCCAGCTCCGAGGTGTTGGTGAAGGCAACCCCCTTCAGCTTGGTGATGACAGAGCTCTGGAGGGACGTGTCTGTGTCCTGGTAGCCCTTCTTGACAATGAACACCCACCTGCAAAGAACAGAGCAGGCAGCAGCATTTGAAAGTGGGGTCAGGGAACAAGTTAGCCAGAGGAGATTGATGCCAATGCCAAAGGTCAAATCAAAGCATGCTAATGACACCAAACACTTTGCAACTACTACTACAAATTTAGAATAAGCTCTGACACAAACTGTGCTCATCTACAGCATTGGAGGAATAGTTAATCCCAAGATCCCACATGCAGGGAAAGGTGTAATAAGTGGTCATGGGGTAAAAATACAAAACCTCCCAGCTCCCTGTCCTGTGCTTCCTCAATGGAAAGGGGAAGGGCAGGGCTTCATCTTCCTCAAGATGAAAAATACCAACAGCTTCTGCAAGTTGAAGTGAGGAGTGTGGCTGGTTTCACAGATAGGTGACTCCCATTTTAGCAGCGTGCCACGAGGCTGCCAGAACAGCACCAGACCATGGCTGGGGAGAGGCATCTCCTGCAGGTGAGATGAACATCGCTAACAAGAACCCATAGGGAATATTCTCAGCAGGATACAGGATCTTTCATAAAACAGTGTGATGGTATTGACCTGACTGTACCCTGGACTCTGTGCTGGGCTTCAGGCTTATCACTAGCACACTGGAAGAGCTGCTGCTCTATCTTCTAAGCAGTCCAGGGAAAAGCTTTGCTTACTTCTTCCCACCAGTGGAAGCAGCAAGAGCTCCCTATCACTGGGTGAAAACCCCTCTGGCTCAAATGAGATGCTTCCAGCTTCCCTACAACACTGCCAAAGTCACCTGCCAAGACAAAAAAAATCACCCCGACCTTTGAAGAAGGGTGCCAGGGGAGGTTTGGGAGGAGGACGCAGGCTGCATTTGCTGGCACAGGTCCCCTTTGCAGTGCACTGACCTGGAGCACACTGCTGCATGCAGGAAGGGAAAGCAGCCATCTCAGGCTAAGCAGCACTGACACACGCTGTCCTTCACCTGCTACTTGTGACAAACCTCAACATTAACATTACCCACATTCCCCACCTCTGTGACATTTCCTACTTTCCTGTTCTCCTGATAACACTGCTTTTTTTCTCTTCCAGGAGGGCTCAGAAGTGGACCCTTACATTTTCTGCAGTGAATCAGGGAAGAAATGGCAGCTGCATGGCAGAAACAATCCAGAGGAATTTGGTGATCACAACCCTGAGCCAGGCCCTGGCACCTGACTGAGCAGTCAGATCAGACTAACCCTCACCACTGCTGCAGCAAGCTGTAACCACCAGCCACGGAGTCACTGCAGGCAACAGTGCCAAAGGCTTGCAGAAGGCACCAGACACCTAGGGAAGGAAATAGCCAGTCTCTGAACACTCACTGGTCGTGCTATATCCCCCTTGGTCAGAGGATGTGTTCTCAGTAATGTTATCTACAGGATTCCTCCTTTAGCAGCTAATACATGCCAGACTGCTGAGGCTTCCTTCTGCCCTGCTAACTAAAGCAGGCTCCAGAACTATACACCTTTCTATAAATAAACTCAGCATGTAGAAATGACTCTGCTATATTTAATCAGTGAAAACATGAGGCATGAGAAAGGTGAAGGGACTCAGTAAAGGTAAAGACTTAGGAATCACATTTTGAAAATCCTCAGAAACTCGGGAAGCAATGGCACAGGCATCACATGGGTTGGATAATTCCAGGTCTGAGCCTGCAAGCTGCTAAGAGTATTGCTGTCATGTCAGTGTGACCAGCCTCTTACAGAACTGGGCCTTTTCTGAGACGTGCTCTAGCTATCTTCATGCCAACTCACCTTGCTCTGAGATACATGCAAGGGAGCCCACATTCACACTGCCTCAGACTCCACAATCCCAGCTGCTGCACCCCACTCCAGCAAAGAAATCTGCTGCTTTGTGCTTAGTTCCCTCCCATTTAGACTCAAGCATATCATGCAGTCATGTACACAAACCCAGGTTTGTCCCAGGGCTCATAAACTGCGGCATAAATGCCATTGTTTCTCATGAGGCAGGTGTTACAAGTTTGGCACCATTCCCACCAAATACAGAAGGTATAAATAATGCAGTACAAAGCCATAAAGCCATTTGATCTATTTTTAACCTGACATTAATCTGGAAGGTATACCTGAATCTAGCCATCCTAGCAGGTTAAAATATCAGATATAATCTATTACACATTACAAATCCCAGCTGTATCACCAAGCACAACTATCTGCACTAAAACCATAAAGCACAGCAAGCTGTCACTGTGTGTAGCATTTCCTACATTCATCTTCCTCACAACACAGTAAGTAAAGGCAACTGCGGCAGTATGTGAAATGCAAAGAGATTCTTACCCCACCAGGTAAGCCAGGATAGAGAGCTGCACCACTCGGTAGAGAATCCCCACCTTCTTGCTCTTCGCAATGACGTATTTCTCTGTTTTATAATCAAAAAGGGATAGAAATAAACCCTTCCAAGCCACCTGCCCCATGCTCCCGGCTCGCGCAGTGGCTGGAACAGGCAGCAGCGTTGCAGCTCGCATTATCCACACGTGCTCTGCATGGAAACCTGACACACCAACCCCTTCAGAGCTGTCTCCTCCCTCCCAGCAGCTGCTCTCTGCTCAGACACCAGCAGCTGCACGAACGCAAGATCCTTCCTCAGCTGCTTTTCAGCTCATTCAGCCTCCAGGGAAGCCCCTGCCTCAGTTTTGCTCCCAAGCTTCATTCTCTCCCCCACAGTCATAACAGATTTATAATAAAACATGTCATAGCATTGAGCCATGTTGCAGCATGCAAGTCTTTTGCTGCTGGATATTAAAGCCTTTCTTTAACCTTTATGTGATGGCAAAGCACTTAGTTACGTGATTAATTTCTTAAGTGTTTGCATGAGCAACAAGAACTCGGGTCCTTACCAGGGATTCAAGATACTTGCCTGGCTACTGTATCTTCCCACCAAACCCCCAGCTTAAGAAACTAATAAATAAATTCTGCGTGTGGTTAAAGGATCAGTCACTATCGTATCTCACTAAAACACATCTCACACAGCACATCTCACTAAAACAATGAGAGTTAGGAAAACAGAGATGCAGAACATGCTGCCAGATGAAAAGCCAAAGGGAAAAGGTTAGCCCTCACGGAGATGAGTCTATATTTAATTTACAGTTTAATAGCCAGCAGTGCAAGAGATGACTCCTAGCCTAACAGAGACTCTTGCATTGTGCAACGACATGAAATGACTTACTTAAACACTGTCTCCTGGCTAAGGAGAGAACAGAACAAGCTTCAAGATGGAAAATGTAGTAAGCCAGGACCTCCAGCAGCTTGGCGAAAAGAGCTGGCATACCTCACTGAGAGGAGATCCATTAGCAAGCAGGAACACAAACTGGACTGTGCCCTTCCCAGGGGGGGTCTTCTTGGATGTGACTGCTCACATGCTGACTCTATTAGGGCATAAAGGGGTGTACCTGGTGTAAAGTGCAGGGTTTACTGCCTTCATGCATTAGCAGCTGATTAGCTCCCACCTGAGCACCCAATTAGCTCCTACCTGAGAACCCAGTTAGCTTCTGGGGCTTTGCAAGGACTGGGAATGCTCTTGAGATTCCATGGTGTGCAGGTGCCATGCAGGCTGGAACACAGGTCAGGAGAGCAGGTTGCACTGTGGGGACAGTGGGCAGTGCAGCAAGGTAACCTGCTCCAGCACACACATACCTCTGCACTATGCACCTCCACCCAGGGAGAATCGTTCTCAAGATCTTGGGTTTTAGGAAAGCTTTTATCCTTTGTCCTCTTTAAATCCCGTATCACATTTAAACAAGTGAATCAGATTTTTAATGAAATGTGACAAGGCTGCTCCAAACCACAGAAGAATCATAGTGTAATAATGAAGAAAACTCTATCCAAAAAATACCTAATTTTATCCCTCATCCCACAGCCATCCCTAGATTTGCCTTCTGCAAAGGGCAAACCTTTCTCCAGCATCTGCAAAACGGGAACAGAAATCTGCCTGTGGCCTCCTTTTAACCCTGCTCAGTACCACGGTGGGCAGGTGCTGCCGCACATGGCTCTTTCATGAGGGGCTCCTGGGGTGCCAAGGGAGGAGCCCCCCGTGCAAGCCCCATTTGTCCCAAACCCATGCCCTCTGGCTCAGGCCTACCTCCCAGACTTCGCAGTCACACTTCAGCCTCACCTCTCCCACTGCCCATGAACTCTCCTTTCCCTATTTGCACATCCCACTTTGGCAGTCCCTCTTTATCTCACAAAACATTTTGATTACTCCCCAAGCCTCTCCTGGAGCCCACTTTCTCATTCAATCATCTGTTACAGTCTCCCTCTTCCTCAGATAGTGTCTGGCCACTGTACCCACTCTTCCTTACCAGATGCCTTACAGACCAGACTGTCACTACTTCCAGTCTTAAAGATCCTCTGCATGAAACCTGGAAGCAGAAATAAAAATAAAGGCTTAAAACATCTAATAACCTAAAGAGACAAACCCTCCAATAAAACATACTCCAGGGAGGAAGGAGACCATGTTGATCCGTGAAGCCAGAAACAAGGAAGAAAGGTAGGCTTAGCCTATCTTCCCTCACCATGGCCTGGACTCCAGAGCCAAGAGGTTAGCACTGGGACTGGGCACAGAGGGACTGAGCCAGCTCCAGGAACCAGAGCTGGATGGAGACAGGGGCATCCTAAAGGAGCCACCACCTGACCATCTGCCCAAGCTGCTCCTAGATGAGAAACTTTGCAAGTACGTGCTGCTGGGTGACAGCCAAGCACCATTTCTGAACATAGGAACTGCTCCAGGGACAGGATTAAGCAGTGAATACATCCCACATCCCCGGACAGCCTCCACCATTGCTCCTGCTACACTAAGGATGCCCAAGTTAATGGACAAATGAAGTATCAGTGGCAACAAGTCAGCCCTGGGTGATGCCTAGAGACACTCCCCTGCTCTGTCCCCATCTTCCTCATCTGTCTGGGTGACTCCCCAGGCTAAAATCAGACCAAGAAACTTGCTAGCAGTTAAACAGTGTGTTACCTCCTGGCCTGGTTTTGCTTAGTGGTGCAGACACAGGTCTGCTATGAGTTTTTGTCATTTTCCAGGTCAATTAATGTGAGAAACGATTTACAAAGGATTTATGCAGGTTACAAAACATGTTCCTTAGAGCGAGACGTGTTGCTGCTACAGGTGTGACGTGAAGATGACAACCAGGGTTGATCACTTACAAAATAAAGGGTGTAAAACTGATACTTCCCTTGGGTTTTTTAGAGCCATCTAAAGCAGTTTCAGAAGTGCAGTTGCAAGAGCTGCTTTTGAATTAAAAGCTTCAATTTGTATCAAGTGTATTCAGAATATTCTGAATACAGCTCAGCATGGGCTAGATTTGTGCTGACAACACAATTGCTGACATGCTCTTGCAAATATTGTTCTCACCTTCTAGTTTCACAACCTTTTCTTTTTTTTCTTGCCTGGAAGTCAAGGTTACTGCTGAGTTTCTCCAGTATCTGGGCTGCTCAAACACGAGCAGTTTCATTTTCCTCTCCCTCAACCCAAGAAGTGGAAGTGCCTGAGTGAGAGGACCAGAGAGGAAAGAAAAATACTGCACATTTAATGAACCTAATCCATCCTGCCCTGTTCTGAGACAGCTGGCACTGAATCAGGTAACAGAAGCTAAATTAAAATGCATGTAAAACATTGCCAAGAGACTGAGTACAGTGATAGCTGGAACAGCAGCGTTGTACAGTGCTGTATTGCAATATTTTCACCTTCTAAAGTCAGCCAAGAAAAGCATCACTGGGGAATAAGAAGAGAATGTTAAATGAAAGCCTGAAAGAAGAATGGTTTTAATGCAATTTGTATTCACTTTAACCGCTGACTTAAAGGTGAAACCCTGTTCTTCCATGTACCTAACAGGTCCATTTGGTACTTCTTTACTCACACGTACCGTTCCTGACCTGGAAAGACATGGAGCTGATCCTGGCTTGATGGGCTACTATTGTAAGTGCTGAGGAGACACGTTCACCCCCTTCCTTTCCTTCCTCATGTAAACAGCCAGAAATTCTATACTAAAGCCTCCACCCCTTCCTCCCTGGAGCTCCCAACTGGTAACTCTTTCCAGTCATACAAAATAGCATACATAGGAAAAATAATAGCATAATAATATAATAATATTAGAATATAATAATAGCATAGGAAATAGTAGCATACATGCTCCTCAGACTTGGAGCCCAGAGGAAATGGTTTCAAGAGCTCTGCAGAGCCCAGCTGCCTGGTGCTGGGTGTGCTGGCACTGGGAGCTGGTGGCCACCAGGTCCCAATCCGGTTGTGTTGTGCACACCACAGGGTGTCCTGAGCCCGCAGGGGTGGCCTGGGCAGCAGGGAGGGCAGAAGTTGGCAGGGACATTTCCCACACCTGCCCTATGTGGTCCAGCAGGGCTCAGCAGCAGCCCATAGCCACCAAGGCGTGAACAGAGTCCCCAGGGCCTTCCCAGCTGTCCCTGCAGGTGCTGGGGGCCAGGGCTTTGGTCCCCAAGGGCTTTGGTCCCCCAGCCCTGTCTACAATCTCCCCAGTCCTTGTCCCCCTCTGCAGGCCCCTCACAAGGCCCTCTGTGTAGCTGCAAAGGTGCTCAGACGGAAATGGCTCAGTCACCACGTGCAGGCACTGGACAGATGGAGAACTGTGGAGTGCTTGGTGAGGAGAAGTCCCAGGCTGGAGATCGGGTGGCTCCTATGTACTGGACATCACCTGCCCTGCTGGAGCCCAGAGCCCTGTGCACGTGTGAAGCAGCCAGGCCCAGCCGGGCCCTTGCTTGTGGTGGTGTCCTGGGTTTAGCAGTGGCAGCTGTTTTTCTCCTTCTTGGTAGCTGGTGCAGTGCTGTGTTTTGACTTCCGGGCTGGGAACAGAGCTGATAACAATGATGTTTTGGTTTGGCCAAGGACTTTGTGAGCCTCATGCTCTGCCAGGGAGGAGGGGAAGCCGGGAGGAAGCAGAGACAGGACACCTGACCCAAACTGACCAAAGAAGTATTCCCTACCACAGCACGTCATGCCCAGGATGTACGGAAGAGTTACCCCGGAAGGGCTAGGTGGACTGCAGGGTTGGAGGAGGTATCGGTCGGTGCTTGGTTGGGCTGGGGAGGCAAGTTATCGGTCGCCTGGTGATGGGGTGTTGTATTCTGTTCCCTTGTTATTTCCTTTATCATTACTATTACTGGTGGTAGCAGTAGTGATTTGTGTTGTACCTTAGTTACTAAACTGTTCTTATCTCAACCCATGGGAGTTGCATTCTTTCTGATTCTCCTCTCCGTCCCTCCAGGAGTAGGGGGATGGCAAGAAGGGGGGGGGGGGGGTGAGTGAACAAGCTGTCTGGCTGGGGTTAAACTACGACAAGTGGGATTCCCACAGCGTGGCACAGTCCTGGGCAGAACCTCCATGGTTCTGCTTCCTTCCTGTCGACAGCAGTTTGGAAGTGCCCGTGGGCTGCCCGCTGCGGGAGTTGCACGTTAGGAAGAAGCTCTTCTGCAGCAGCAGCAGCTCGTTGGGAGAGGTGGCTGTGAGCGGCTGCTCCTCCCTGCTCTCCCAGCACAGCTTGCTGAGTTCATCCAGGAGCTCACCGCGGGCCTTGCCGCTGCTCCAGGCTCCTCCCGCCAGCTCCTTCACCAGCTGCTGCTGCAGGCTCTGTGCTGGTGCTGCATTTCCACCGCAGCTTGCACCACTCTGCCTCCTTGGAGCACAGCAGCTGGCAGATCTGCTTCTGCCGCTGGGTGAGCTCCTGCAGCCGCTGGAGCTCCCAAGCCTGCCTCTGCTGCCAGTTGGAGCGCAGCCATTCGGCCAGGAGCCGCCGGTGCCTCTCTGCCACCTCCTGCACCTCGCAGGGCTCAGCACTGAAGCGGCCTGTGGCTGCCCTGCCCTTGAGCCTGCCCAGGTGTTGTTCCACCCTGCGTCCTGCCATCCCTAACCTCCTAAACTTCTTAAACACAGGACTTGGACAAGAAAACATCGGTCACCTAACGCCATCTCCAGTGTGCATACGGTTCTGCTCATGGATTTTGAGTCCTCTTGACTAGTCTGGCTCTGAACATCATGACACGTGCTGGGTATCTTGCCATAACAAGACTCCATCTAACATGAACAAAACATGGAGCTCAGAACACCCCAAGGGGACGCAAATAACCAGGGGGAAACAGGCTTCTTTCCCCCACAGGAATGACCTGCCTCTCATGCTCTGAATGGCAGGTTACCGTGGTGCCCTTTGTGACATGCTCTTGGTGACATGCCCTTCATGACCCACTGTGGTGCCCTTAGTGATGTGCCCTTTTGGACCCACCATGGTGCCCTTTGTGACATCCCTTCCATGACCCGCCATGGTGCCCTTTGTGACATCCCTTCCATGACCCGCCATGGTGCCCTTTGTGACATGCCCGTGGCCACAGTCTAAAAGTCAGCAGGCCACACCCCTCATGCCAGTGTGTGGCAGGACGGCGACGGGACAGAGCGGGAGCGAGAGGCTGGCGCAGACCCCTGAGGCAGCCCACGTTGTTCCCCACTGCCCCAGCAGCCCCGCAGTGCTGAGACATTTCTGGCAACCTTACTCGTTCCTCACCCCTATCCTTTTGTCCGCCAAGGATGGAGGAGGAACGCACTGCACACATGCAGTTTATCCAGACCTTCCTGCAGAGCTCAGTGAAGGTAACCTCAGCCGTTTCCAGGGTAGCAGTGCCCGTGTCTCCTGATGGGCCCACTGGCTCTGCTGCCAGGCTGCTGGGGGCTGCTGGCTGGGCAGAGCTGCTCCCCAGGTCTCCTGCACAGCACTGCAGCCCCAGTGCTCCAGTCCCGCTGGCCACGTGCCCCCCTTCTCACGCTGCCTGTTTGTGTCTCTGTCCCCCGGCTGCCCAGGAGGAGGCTCAGAAGGTGCAATTCCTGCACGCCGTCTCCAGCCTCTGCACAGCTGCCAGGGACCAGGGCTTCCTAGAGGAACTAAAGGAGTTCTGTGAGCAACATCAGGTGGCAGAGAACATCAAGGTGAGGGGACACACGGCAGGCCTGGGGAAGGGGGCAAGTTGCCAGGCGCTGGCACACTGTTGAGAACGCACAGGGCCCGTGCAGGGGGAGGGCAGGGACCAGCGTGCGCAGGCAGACACTGAGCTGCCTGCGGGTGCCGCTGAGCAGCCCTGGCAGCAGGGCCACGCTGGGGGCCAGTGCTGGGCTTGGGGCCAGAGGGTGCCTGCCAGCCATGCTGCCTGGTGCTGGGTCTGTTGGCACTGGGTGCTGGTGGCCGCCAGGTCCCATCCTGCTTGTGTTCTGCAGGCGCTGGTGGAAGAGGAGCCCATGGACCATGTGCACACAGTGGTGCGGCAGCAAGCCATGCTGACCCTCGCCCAGATGAGGTGCGTGCTCAGCTCCTGGTTTGGCAGACACCTCTGCACAGCCCATAGCCCTAGGCCTAGCCATGGGCATCTCCCATCCAGGCAGAGTCCAGTGGTGCCCTCGGAGGCCATGGTCTTTTCCGTGCTCATGGCTTGCGGAGGGGCACAGGGGAGAGCAGAGGGATCCTGCAGGTCCCCACCACGTCTCGGTTGCTCCCAAAAGCAGGAGGCGGGAGGCTTTGCCTGCCAGGACCGTCCTTTGGCCTGGGCCACATCAAGGAGGGAGGAGGCTCCTCCTGGCAGGGCTCCCCGCACACCACGGCTCCATCCCTCTTGGGGACCTCTGCTCCAGAGGTCTGTGTCCAGCTGCACAAGGCACGGAGGCAGCGCTCCTGGCACCCATGTCTGACAGGTCCCTCTCTCTCTCTTTCTAGCAAAGTGCAGATGCTATTGAAGCGCAAGAAGAAAAGCCTTTTAACATCCTGTTTTAGGAAGGTCTTCTTGCTTCCCCCCATCACTTCTAGGAAGGGCAAAGACAGCTTTCTCTACTTTCAGGTAAGTGCTGTTGGGCTGCCAGGAGCATTCAGAGCTGCTCCCTGGCTGGCAAGTGCTGAACCACAACCAGCGATCCACGGCACGATAGGGTCTCGGCTTTACTATCCCACCCTTGTCCCTTCATCTCCTCCTTGTGGGCCTTGCCATGCCCAGAGCCTCTGGACTGGCTCCTCTGCCCGCTGCAGCTTGTCTGCTCCAAGGTGTCCCTTGGCCACCCAGAGGTGGCAGGGGTGTCCTCCCCATGGTGTGGGGGTTAGATCCCTCCCCGGGGAGAGAAGGACTGCAGAAAGACTGACGTGACCTTCATCCTCCTTGCAGACCCTGGATGCCATGGACGTCCTGCTGGAGAGCTTCGTGCTCAGCTCCCCGGGCTCCAGGGATCTGCGGAGAATCTTGCAGGTGCGGCACTGGCAGAGAGCAGGGTTGGCAGGGGCTGTTCCTCTCCCTGGAGGGATGGGAGTGTCTGCTCTGGAGCACACGGTGTCATCGCAGCTCCATGCACACAGCACACTGCAGGGAGGGTGCTCAGCTCTCTCAGGGGACCCAGACATGGCCCACCGTGCTCTTCCAGGAGCCTCGTGTCCCCTGGCTGCAGTCAACGTCCCCGTCTGCAGCCTCCTCCCGTCCCACGGCAAAGCCTGGCCCATGGCACTTGTGGGCCAGCTCCATCCCCAGAGCTTTCCTCGCACCAAAGCGGCAGGAGGCACTGACGCCTCTCCTAAGGCACCGCAGCAGTGGCAGTGGGTGCTGTCCTTCTTCCCATGCCTCGCAGTCCCTCCTGCTTTTCTGCCCAGGTCTGACTGGGCAGAAACCCACTGGGACCAGCCTGTGCTGTACAGGGCGCCAGGCTCTGAAGTTCTGCACTCCTGACTTCTCAGGGAGCCGTATGCCCATTCTCCCATTACAGTATCACCGCCCCCCGGCAGGGCGCTGCCCAAAAGCCCAGCCTTCATGGAGAGGGAATGCAGGGCTGTGCTCCCGGGGAGGGCACAGAAGGAAACAGACTCTACCCTGGGGTGGCATCTGCCTCCCTTCAGGGCCACAAGGACTGCACAAGTCCAGCCGGGCCTTGAGCAGTGCTGCTGCTGCTGCTGGCACAGGCACCAGCTCCCAGGGCACAGCAGCACTTTCTCTCCTTCCAGATGCTGCTGCCCTTCACTGACATCGAGCACGCAGCTGTGTGTGAACGGGCCGTGGCAAGGATCGCAAAGCTGGCCGATTTGATGGCCAGCTCTTCCTCAGTGCAGGTAAGGAGGCAGGCACCCTCCAGCCAGGCTGTCTCCCATTCCCTGCCCACTGTGGGCAGCAGCCTGCAGCTGGAGATGCCTGAGGCATTCAGCATGGCTCTGCCCTGGGCAAGGGTCTTGGCTTCTCTTTTTCCCGTGGTTTTCCCTCCGTCGCAGTGCCCTTTCTGCCAGGAGCCATCTTGGCTCCCAGTCCTGTGCAGGACAGCACTGCCCAAGGAGCATGGTGGGAGGCCAGGCCTGGCAGCTCTCCCTGCCCTGCTGCCCAGCTCGCTGCTTTGGGAGGGCCCTGCACAGCTCTGAGCCTCCAGGATCCTTCCCTGGGGCAGAGTCTCAGGTTCAGAGCTTTTGTTGAGCTGCTGTCCCTCAGCCCTTCTGCCTGTCCTGCCTCCCTTGCCCAGGTCTGGAGCTTGCGTGGACATGGCGACAGCTCTTCCCACCATGCCATTACCAATGACCGCTTCCTGGGACAGCTGCTGGGATGTCTCATTGTTTGCTGCACTAGCATGACCTGGAAGATCCATCAGGAGGCTTTGGATGCTCTTCAGCACCTCTTCAGGTTCATCCAGCAGCAAAAACGTAAGAGAAGCTATGTTGGGCTGCATCCCTCCACACAGACTTCTCCTCATGGTCCAGGACAGCTTGTTGTATTCCCCCACCTCCTCTGCCCGTCTCAGCTGCTTCCCGCAGCATCCCAGCTATCGTTCTGCTGCAGAAGCTCAGTGCTCACCACAAGTCCGGCACTGCTCTTTGCTGCTCTCCTTCCCACTCTTCTCAGGGCCTCTCAGAACCCAGCAGTTCCACGGTCCCCATAGCCAAAGCTGTCACTGATGGAAATCAATGCTATGTCCTAATGACTCTTCCGTGATCCCCTCCTGTTTAGGCATGACATCACCAGAGGATGACCCAGAGCATCCCCAGGGTGGAGGGAAAAGGGAAGCAAGGAAACTCTCCTGTTTTTCTCTGTCCGGAACGAGCAGCATTGCAGAGGTAATGAGCTCCTCCCTTGCTGGGCCTCTTGTCTGCGGCACTGGCAGGAGACTGGTGCAAGCAGAGGGATCCAGAACCAGCGGGTTTGGCATGATCTCACTGTCCCTGGTCAGAGGGTTGCTACTGTTCTGGAACAGGGCCTCCAGAGGGCTGCACTCCAGCGTCCCAGCAGCAGCTCCAGCCTTCGTGGCCAGCAGGAAGCCCTGGTTCTCTGCAGGGCCAGCACACCGTGCCCACCCTCCATCACTGTGGGGCCCGCTCTTCCCATCCTCTACCCCGCAGCAACTGCAGCCCCTACTGCCAGATTTGCGGGGGTACTCTCACCAGAGCTGCTGTCACTGCCCAGCTGAGCAACGCTATCAGGCACTCAGTGTTAACACGTCTTCCCTGCCTTCCTTCCTCCTGCAGGCATTTGGGGAATACCTCCACCCTGCTGAAAAGACAGTCATTGTCCTCAAGGCCATAGAGGCCATGAGAGACTCCTGTGTATGTGACAAGGAGGAGCTGATCAGCGTCGTGAACGTGGCCATGACAGAACCTGCCTCCTGGCTGACAGAGGTAAGCAGCCTGTGGCTGCCCTGTCCTCCAGCCCTTCCAGGCACTGTTCCTCCCTACATCCCACCTTCCCTCACCCAGGTGCCTCAGGCACCTTGAAGCCATTTCATGCCAGTAGAGTAGGATGGGGAGGGCAGCTGTTTCAGCAGCAGCTGAGGAAATGGCTGCAGTCTGGTGGCAGCTCCACCCTCATCCATGTGCCCTCCAGGTGCCGATCCTCACGCGCTGCATCCATAAGAACCTGCTGGACATCAGCACAGCACCAGCCCGACACAGCCTGAACTTGCTGTTTCTGAGCATGGCAGAGCAGAACCCCAGGGAGATGATCCTGAGCCTTGTAGATGTCTCTCCAGAATGTGATAGGTACTGACCCCCACAGCCCTCGTGGGTTTGTTCCATGTGGGGAGAGGGAGCTTGAGGCCCACAGAAAACTGCAGGACACCCCTGAGGAGCTGAGCCCTGTACCCCATCACTCTCTCTAGCCCTGCTGGGTTGGCCAGCCCTGCAGTAGCCAAAGCTGGCCAAGCCAGACCCGAGGCTTGCCACGAGGTTCCTCCTGCCCCACAGGGAACAGTTTCATCCCCTTCCTGCCTGCCCCGTCTAGGACCTGGGCACTCCCAGTGAGGGGTTGGGAAGGGCCAGGGCTGCAGGACAGCCTGGCTGCTGCAAGACTGGCCCGGGCACCGTGCGGTGGCCAAGGCAGCCCTGCTGACAGAGTGCTCTGTGGCTGCAGAGTTCCTTGGGTCATGTGGGGAACGCTGCTGTCCCATCCCGTCATCTTGCCGAAGGTCGTGAGGAAGCTGAGCAGCAACCTCCAGCACCTGCGATCACGTTCGGCATTGACATCCAACACAGAGGGCGACGCCTGCATCCATCTCTTGTCTGTGAGTAACCAGACCAGTCCTTGCTCATACTCAGGGCTGTGCCTGCCTCTCCAGAAACACAGGCACAGCCCTCTTCCCTGCCATCTGTCCCCAAACAGTCACCTCCTCTGGGACACAGCCCATTAGGGCCAGCACAGCACCAGGTTCCCCTGTGCCAGCCACACAGGGCCACGCCACGCTGCGTGAGTGCAGGTGCACAAAGTCCCTGTCTGCCCAGGCAGTGCTCTGCTTGCACAGGCAGAGCCAGCACAGGGAAGCGTGTGGTGTGCGGTGGGTGTCCCGCAGCACGGGCTCTCTGTCCCCGGTGCCCTTGCCCTGAGCTGCCAGTGGGACCCAGGAGCTGCACAGTGCGGGGAGCCCTGCAGCCTCAGCTGGTCTCTCACTGACGTCTTTGTTTCAGCTGCTGGCCTCCAGCGATGTGACACCAGAAGAGTTTGCTGGGATGTACAATACGGGGAGGTTCTCCTTGTCTCAAAATGAGGCGCTGTTCTCACTAACGGTCACAGGCCTCATCACGTTGTCACAGTCACCTGACACGGTGAGCAGGGCATAGCCAAGGGAAGCCGTGCTGGCCTCCTGGGGCTGGGCAGTGGGTAACGCGGTGGCTTGACCAGGGCTGGGAGTCGCGAGCTGGGGTGAGGGCTCCAAATGCCCTCGACGTCCCCTCACAGGCCCCGATCCACTCAGTGCACCATGGGCACAGCCTGCCAGGAGGCTGCTGCAGGGATTCCTGGGCCACCACCAGGCAGCCAGGCAGGAGGCCGGTGCTTAATGGCCAGAGCATTTTGGCCTGGGTGGTCTTTCACCACTTCACATAAAAGGAATTCTGTGCTTCGTACAGGCAAGGAAAATACTGGTCCTGCTGCCAGACTTGAACGGGGCCCTGAGGAGTACAAACGCAGACACCAGAATGAAGGCCCTGCTCATTCTGAGAAATGTGATGGGTCATTTGAAGAAGAAGGCCAGCTCCACCGCTCTGCAGCTGGCTGAGAAACTCCTGCAACTGTTTGATGATGTAAGGCTGCTATGGAAGCCTGATCCTCACTGATGGGCCCTTTGCAAGGACAAGTGTCCGTTAGTAGAGCCTGGTGGCGGCACTTGCATAGCACTGTGCCCCTCCTCATGCCCCTGTGCTCTCATGGGGATGCCTTCTGGGCTCTGCAGCCCAGCCCAGCTTCTCCCTGACTTGCTGATGGCTCTGGGAGAACTGAACCCCCTCCCCTCAGCCACGCTGATGCCCTTGCTCAGGGAGCTGCTGCTGCTGAAGTCCTCCTGTCCTCCTCCTTACCAGGTGTCCAGCCAGGTGCGAGAGCTCTCCATCTGCCTCTTCAAAGAAATACTACAGATGGCAGATTGGAAGCACCGGCGGCAGATGCAGAAGGCGGCGCGGGAGAGCCTGGTCCCACTCGTGTTGCACATGAGTGATGAGACTGAGAGTGTGGCCAAGGTAGAGATTCCAGACCTCAGCAGTGGTGCCCGGAAGGGTGTGCTGAGCCCATGGGGCAGGGGCCAGGTCTTTGGGCCCCAAGCCCTCTTCACAATCTCCCCAATCCTTGTTCGTCTCTGCAGGCATCTTATGAAGCCCTCTGTGAAGTTGCAAGGGTGCTCAAATGGAAACGGCTCGGTCACCGCGTGCGGGTACTGGAGAGAGAGAGAACTGTGGAGTGCTTGGTGAGGACAAGTCCCAGGCTGGACACGGGTGCCCCTCTCGCCTCCCCACCCTCAGGACGTTTAAGAGGATCCATCTGGGCCCTGGCAGTGGCACAGAGGGCTCTCAGGACCTCCTGATCCCGCTCTGCCTGCGGCTGTCTCTGAATCTCAGCCCCACAGGGCTCCTGGCTGGGAGATGCAAATGGACTGAGGAGCAAGGCAGGGGTGTGGGGTGCCAGGAGGAGGGATACGCCCGGACAACTGGGGAGGGTCTGTGTCATCCCTGTGCCTTTTTGCTCTCTCCAGCTGGAGCACGACCGGAGCAGGGCTGAAGAGTATGTGCGTCACAGCATGCCTTATCTGCAGCACGCTCAGGTCACCGTGCGAACGGCAGCCGTGAGGTTCATCGGTGAGCCACAGTCCCTGGAGTCCCTCTTATGGCAGCCTGGCCCCAGTCCCATCTGCTGCACTGGCTGCGAGGAGCAGCCCTGTGCCTGCCAGAGCCCCAGCTGCCCCGTACAGGGCCTGTGCAGCCGGGGGCTCTGTGCTTCCCCCTCCTACTCCTGCCCTCGCAGCAGGGCTTGGTGGCACCTTGTTCAGTGCTACCTCCCCTCGGGTCCTGTCCTTCCCTGGGGTCACCCTGCTGAGGGGAGGGAAGGGGTGCAGCCAAACTGGCAGAGCTGGGGCCATGCTGCCGGGAGTGTCCTGGGCAGCAGCAGGTCTCACCAAGCTCTCTGCACAGGACTGGCCGGGAAGCACCTGGAGAACAGCAGCAAGGACACGCTGCAGGAGATCTACAGCGGTGAGTAGGGGCAGTGCTGTGTGTGATGGGGGTGGGTGGGGGCAGGGGACAGAGCAGGGGATGCTGCCGTGCCCTATCCTGCTCCAGGGAACATCTTGGGGGCATTTGTTGCAACCCTGAGCAGCAGCTTCCAAGTGATCCATTTGTCCACCTGCGCTTCCTCACCAGGAAAAGGGATGGTTGGGGCTGGCATGGTCTGGAAGAGATGCCTGTGAGTCTCTGCAGATCAGTGGGTTTCAGCTCTGCTCTCTTTCCTTCTGTTGCAGCCCTCTACAATTCAAGCAAAGACAAGGAATTCCAGGTCTCATCCCTGGCAGTTCACACCATGGACATGCTGAGAACTTCATGGACACAGCCAAGAATTCGATGGACCCTGTGGGCGCTGTGGTGATAGCTCTGAAAAGCAGTGTGGAGACAGTGCTCTCACAGAAGAATGGATATTTGGTACATGAACTCGGAATAATCCTGAAAGATACAGCAAGGCCATGAGAGGCCCGAGGAAGTTTAAGAAAGCAAGATAAGAAGAAGCTGGAATTCACCGAGTTATGAGAACTGTGGACTGTTGGCAAGCTTTCAAGGTCAAGTTCTCACACATGTGCTTAACCAATTATATGTTAGTTGCTAAGGGTCTTCAAGACATTTATCCAATCATAATATGCCAAATCACTGGAAGGATATGTAAGCAATAGTATATAAGGAGTTAAGGCTTTGCAATAAACGGCTTTGGTCTGATCTTATTGATCTCTGACTGAGTCCATATTTTTTCTGCGGCACAGCAGTGAAGCCCTGCTCAAGGAAATGCATCTTTTTGATCAAAACTCCAACCACCATTCCAAGGCCGTGGTGTCCTTCACACGCAGCGCAGAAAGGCCGGTCAGGAGCCGCCGGGCAGTGGTTGTGCCCAAGTCCCTGGCACCTGCCCAGCCACAGTCATTGGGAGCACCGCTGCCAGCGTCAGGGCGATGCAGGAAGGCCACGAGTGTTGACAAGGCTTTTGCACAGGGGATTTTGCTGAAAATGCAGATTGCAAATAAATTTAGAAGCAGGCACAGCAAGGCTTCCATGGAAAAACAGCACCTCAGCTGTGGTTTGCAGGACTGTGAGTCTTGGCAGTCTTGACTAATCTCTGAAGTGCCATCCAATTACTGCACGTGTTTGGCACCTGCTATAGCAATAGCAAAGAATTACATGGTCAAATGGCACTCATCAGAAATTACATGTCACAGACCACTGTAGTGCATTTAAGAAAAAACATCTAAAAGGGAAAACAGCATTACCTGCTGCAAGAGCAGACCCTCCTGAAAGCCATAAGGAACAACAAAAGGCATCAAAGTAATGAGGGAAACTTAGCTCAGAGAAGAAAATAGGGAAAAGGGGATGATGCAGGGGGACGAACGATAGGCAGCAAAACCACAATTGCTAGTATGCTGCAGACTTTCCACTGTCAGCTCTTCACAGAACTCATCACTCAGTACAAGACCTGTGTAGAGCAGTGGAAAAAGGAACACCACCTTTCCCTCCCCCAAGAACAGCCAGCGTGCCCTCACGCTTACAAATAAACAAGTGAATAAAAAAGGAACCTTCGAAAAAGCATCTTCCTTATAATGCCACCACCACAGTCACTATCGCAGAGGAGAAGCTGTCTTGCCTGAAGCTCTTCAAAGGGATTCCCTTCTCCCAGCCCAGCACATTCTGCTTTCTGTGTATGTACCCTTCAACGGAACATTTGAAAAGTGATTTTTAAGGGTTTTCCCCTTCATTTTGTTTTTTTTTCTGCCCCCCACAAAATCCTAAAAGCCCTACATAAAAATATTACCCAACCTGAAATCCAGTGATAAAATAAACTTAACAATGTCCTTCCATACTCAGTACCCTGAGCACACTGAATGGCAACAGGAAGTATTTTCAAGGGCAGTTATACAAGAGGTATTGATCTTCACAAACCAACACTAACAACATTAACACACTACAAAGCATTTAGCAGGAGCAAGAGTAGGACTGTACAGAGAGGATCTGAAGTAGATGGATAAAGCTTCCGTATTTTGTCTTAACACTGCAACTGCCATTGACAGCATTAGTTCTCTTAAATTACAGACTTCCTTTATTCCCAAAGATCTCCTATGATCACTGCAACTGTTTCTGAAAAGGGGGAGAAAACAGCCTTTTCCTTTAAATCAATTCGCTACAGATCCCTAACCCAGGCTTCTTAGTGCCAAGCATAGCTACTTCTCAAAAGAAAGAGATATAGTTTCCACAACTCCCTTCAGCACATTCTCTTTAAAGCTTATGACACTCAAACCCATTTATGGCAAAACATGTCACAATTATTTTAAATTCAATTCCTTAATTATTTCCTATTTCAGCTGCAGGTGTGGTACTTTGTGAAATGATAGCAGTAAAGAGCCCCGCTAAGTTGCCTTCCTTACCTTAGGATCACAGTGTCATTTTGCCTGTTTAAATAGTCTTCATTGGCTAGCAAGTCCAAACGAAAGAATCTGTTGTAACCCCAGCATTCTCCAACTTCAAAATCAGAGGCAAACTCTCGAATTATGCTTCTGGTGGGATCGTTGGTGGACTGGTGAACCATTTCTACACGGTACTCATACCTACACCGGGGAAAATCACAGTTATTAATACCAAAATAAAGACACTGGAACTGCTGGATGCATCAAGTTTAACAGAACCATGCTTTCTGGGAGGCTCACAGGCCCAGCTGAAGACGTGGTGTGCTGGCAATTTTACTGAACACTTATATAAACAGTACAGCAGGGGATAAAAGTAGCAGAACACAGACAGGTAGTAGCCCCGTACCACACCATTTCCATCCCTGAACTAAATCGAGAGATAAAGCGATTAAAATATGAAAGCAAAAACCAGAAAAGCAAAACACCTTGACATACCCTTGAAGTTGAGAAAGCAGCTTCAGTCAACAGAGAATTTGCAACAGCACTTTCCTTCGTATGATACAGCACTTTCCTTCGTATGATACAGTTTTGATTTTAACCTTCTGTGACCTGCAAGTCTTACTGTAACTTGAATCAACAAGGTGTTTGCATCTCAGGTATAAATCTCAAAACAGAGCTTTACTCTATTAACGCTTTAAGGGTTCAAGTAAGCGGAAGCCTGAAGAGACAATTTATGTAACAAATAGAAAAAGCAGAAAAAAGCTCATAAAAAATACTTAGCAGTTTATTCTATTCCAGTTCTTCTCAAACTCTCCACATTAAACCAGCTCAGGTTAAACATTAGTTCTGAAATATTTTCCATACAGCTGCATTTCAAAGCTACTTGGTATTTGAAATAAGAGTCATTTCTTTACAAAAAACATGCAGTGTGAAAAAGTTAGGTCAGTTAACTGACAAACAATATGAGAATCAACAGAAAACCAGAACAAACATGGCAAAACCTCCATCACACTCACCTTCATCAGGGATGAAGAATGGCTCAACTTGAATCCTCTAGGTTGAAGAAACATTTTAACTTACCATTTAAAAAATAAATTTTAATGCCTTCTGACAGCACACCTTCTATATTCAATCCTGAATTTACAATACTCTGAAAGCTTACGCAGAGGTCCACCTCTGCACCCCAGAAATACAAATTCTGTGCAAACATGGGCTTAACAGATTAATCCAGTTCTCTGAAGATGCCATGTCAACCACTAACAAACAAAACTTGCACTCCACCACTAAACATATTTCTCCAAACACAGCTGCAGTAGCAGCCAGAGCTTCCTTGAAGCACTGAGCAGGCTATTGGACTGCAAAAAGATTGCACCTTGTGGGTTAACATTCCAACACTGACAAAGATACTGCTTCAGAAATCTGACTATTCAGCTCAGTGGAAGGACGTTAGTCCAATACACACATTTTAGCACGTATTCTCAACATCTGAGAACTGGATGCACAGTAAAACAGATTTATCTTCGACTAATACCTCGTCCTCTTCCCAACTGCCCAAATAAGTACTAATCATAAACATAAATATTTTAAGTTACTCTCTACTTCTGCAAGGAACATCTACAAAAACCACTCAGAAAAATATAGTAAAAATATCTATTACAGTTCCTATGGCATATTAGTAAGACCTTTTTTAATTGCTTTTAAATTAACCAGATTAACTACATTGAGAACGTCCATGCTGCATATCTGGAAGCAGAGCAGGAATACTCCAGTAGTCAGTGATCAACTCTACAACCTTATTACGTTCTTTTGATACAGCTTTTTATACACAACATGAGAAGACACTAACTGATGTTCCTTTACAAGAGAAGCACACGAATGCTGCTGAAGTGTTTTGGGTGGGGTAATGACTCTAGTTGAAAGCATAACTCACTGGATAAACTTTTAATCTCCAGCAAAGTCCTGACACTTGCAGAGGTGGACTGTACACAGGATCTGCTCGCTGGCGCAATGTACTATTGAGAAAGGAGAAAAAACATTTGCTATTGGGACAAAGCAAAACCTCCATAAAACAATAAACTGCACTCACACTTAGGCTTTTACACACTAGAACCATCCTTCTTGCTGCACAGAGCATGTAGCAGCACAAGGCCCGTGCAGAATGGTAAGTGTCCATACAAATACATGTGTCACTTATATAATTATCCAATCTTTTTTAAAAAGGGAAAAAAATGCCTTTGCTATGGAAAATCTTTTTAGCTAACAGTGTAGCTAGAGTTAATTGTCCACCTGGTACCTGACATTTTTGACTGAATTCCCCCCTACAGCTTAGCTAACATCTGACAGTTTTTTGCAGAGACAATTCTGTGTTCTGAGGACTACTACTCATGTACAGAAGAAACAAAAAAAGCTTCTCAATATTCACAGTAATTTAAAATACATTCTTACCTGAAGTTTTCCAAGACAAATGTAGTTGAGTCATAGGCTGGAACCAATTCACTAAAGGGGAGGAGAGATGTAAATATATCAGAGTTGAATAACATGACATTAAAAATCCCAACTTCTGGAATCTCCAGAAGCATTTTCAGTTTCTTGAGTAAGTGATGTCTTTTGACCTGGTTAAAGAGAAGACAACATGTTTAAAGAAATAAACACCCCATAACTCACTGGATTTTAAGAAACTGAGCTTTTTCTTTTTTTGCTCTCTCTTTTTTTTTTTTTTTTTTTAACCTGGAAGCTGATCCAAAACCTACTAAGGTAAAGAATTTCTAAATATACCAAGGTTGATTGAGAAATCATTTTAAAATTAAGCCTACATTTTTAATTAGAGCTGTAGTAAAGAACTCACTTGAGGTTAAGTCAGTAATGAATTATTCTGTGTCCCAGAAATGGCAAGTCTGTTGTTCTGGGGTGCTTTTTTGGACGTAAAATAAAAAAAGACAGGTTTGACTTCACTTCCGTCACACATTACACACCTCAAGAGTATGGC